CCTTCCCGTCCGGGCCCAGCCGCCATCACGGCGCGCTGCCCCAGCGCTGCGCACAGCGCCCCCTGCTGGCCGTGCCCGGAGCTGCACCCCGGGAAGTGGCCGGGCCAGGAAGGGTCGCTGGGCTCCTGCTGTGGTTGGTGTCACTGCTGCAGCTCTTGGTGTTTGTTTGCCCTGTTACACACCAGGAAAGAACTGATATTCCTGCCCTCATATCTTTTTGCCTGAGAGCCTCTTAATTTCAAAATTATAATAATTCAGAAGGAGGGGGTTTACATTTTTAATTTCAAGGGAGGCTCTTGCCTTCCCTAGCAGACATCTGTCTTCCAAACTACGACACACTGTTGTGGCACAGTTACAGAGTTTTATTACTAATAATTTAACTGTCAGAAAGGAAACAATATACTGCATAAATGCCTGGTAGGTGGTTAGAAAAGATTATGTTTTTAACCTTATCCACAGTGTATTTAATCTCAAATTACAGACGCAGATATAGAACACACTGATGTTACTTTTAAACATCGCAGACTTGCCTCCCTGTAAGAGTGGGGTTTCATTTTTTTTCATGTTGAGAGATTTCTTGAATAGAAATTTTAACAATCCCAGCACACAGTTGTCTGTTGCAAAAAAATGCTATTCTGCTTTTCAGCAATTTCCTCTCTTTCTGAAAGCATAGACAAATTAATGAAGGATAATCATAGCTTAGTCATAAAAACAATCTGTCAATATTTACATGGTGCTCTTTCATTTCTTGGTCTTCCTTTGCTGGTCTGATATTTCAGCTAAGCTCAGTACACATCACCAAGCTCTGGATCTAATAACTTTGGAAGACAGTATTTTAAGATGCATTCACATCAGCAGGAGGAAATCCAAAGGGAGAGAGGAAAAGTGTCCTCAGCAAGATTCAAAATAATAATTGCTGAACGAGAGGTCAGGATATAATAGGATGACAAAAAACACAAAGGAAAATAAAGCAGGCAGGCAGAATCCAAGTGGTGAGTCTGGTGAGTCGAGCTGCTATGTGCAGCAATAGGCCTCTGCGTGCACTGGCAACTTCCTTAGACACTGACAGTAAAACTTTAAACTGATTTATACTTCTTTTCAAAAAAGATGCAGCTTATACATAGTTATGTCATGTCCATTTTTTTTCTGCTCATCGGGGGTTTTGATATCACTCTTTAAGGGCCTAAAGAAATTGTTCTGAGAAAGAAAAGAATTGGGCCTTGAAAACACCAACAGTTCTAACAGCTGGTGCCACAGGCAGCGTCTGGAAGAGGAGCAGTTTAAGAGCTATCAGATGGCTTTTCCATCCCACTGGCATTACAGCTTCATAGTTCTGACTTACTAGGGATCAAACACAGATACTGATATCTATTTGAGCATAAATGTGATTTCTCAACCCAGCTTTTAGTGCGACAGGAGCAGGCCCACTGCTTTAGCAGGGCACTGAAGCAAGGAGAGTGAACTCTCAGACTCTTTTTTGCAGCAAGTACCTGAGTGCTGCTGCTGCTGCTTCTGAAACCCAGCTGCTGTAGTACTGCAAAGAGTAACTCAGAGCAAATATGAAACCAAAACTACTGCCACACAGACACAGCATATCTCTTGCAGAAGGTTTTTACGTAGAATTATGATTGGTAGCTTTAGAAGTCTTTCTCATTCATGCTTTTTGGTTTTGATTTTTTTTATATACATGGAACAGTTTTATCACAACTGATTAAATTAATATCCTCTTTCTTTCTTCACATTGAAGATACCTCTCAAGCTTTTTACAGTTACTGGGGCTGGCAGTAATGCTCAGTCAGAGAAGACACCTGGAACACAGCATGACGGGGGTGTTTTAAGGTGCAGCATACCTAAACTCACTTATTGAACTGGTGTCTGAATCCATCATTTCAGGAAACAAAAATATGACACACAGCTTCCTGAATCCCATAAATGGTTCCAAAGAGTTTGTTTTCTAAATATTTCCAAGTGGTTTGCTTATTTTGAATTTCTGAGACACTTACGGATGACACAATCTTAGTATCAAATAATTGCCAAGAGTGCACAAGGATCTTGCCAGAAGGTCAGACCGGGGGGTGAATAATGTACTTGGTGCATTTGCAACACAATTACAAGGCAGAGCACAGAGCGTGCATTGCCCTGCTCCCTGTTTGCCTCCATTCACACACTCCAGTTACTCGGGTAGAAGAAGCAGCTTTACAATCTTTCCCACAGTGCACTTCCCTCCTAAAAATCTCCCACACAAGCATTCTTACTCCTGCAGCCCCACCAATGCTAGCACATGTGGGAGGGTTGGCACTTCTGGTACAAGAACATTTGGACCCTCTCTACAGTGTCTGCTCTGCTCCCTTGAATACATTTGCACTTAATCAGAGCAATATGACAAAGGGTGGTCTGCTGTGAAAGGTACCCAGTGCACTTGGGCTTAATATCCCCTCATTTCATGTGGATAATGATGCTCTTTCCTCCCCCAGATTCCCTCTTTTCCTCAAAACTGCTGAGCAAGAAAGACTAGAAGTTCTGTCTGAGGAAACTGAAAACAATAAAAGCTCTGGTTTACTTAGGAAAAGTGCTGTAAGAGAGCCAGGCTCTATATTACTGTACTGTCAAATAAATTGTAATAAAACATTCGTAAAATCAAAGGAGTTGAGTTCATTTTCAAAGAGATGATGTGTGGAGATAAACGCTCTTCAGATAATTCTCATTAGTATTTTCACATATGTTATCCTGGTTTTCTTATAAACATTGTATGATCTTCTGTGGTATGTAGTCAAATAGCTGGAAACCATTAAAAGCATGCTCCAGCTGTGCAATCACTGTCCTCACAAAGATACATTTTTACATGTGGTTAATGCCAGAAAGAATCTACAGCTTCAGTTACGAGAACATCAAAATATGTTGTTTATTGCAGGAAAAAAGCATTTGCAGCAATTTAAAATATCCAGTCAACACCACATTGCTAAATCTAGATAATAGAAATCCCAGAGAAATTTGAGCTAAATCTGTCTGGATTATAGCCGTGGGATTATCTGAATGCTAAATTACTGTGTATGTTTAGCTCACAAACATGAGCGCAGACAGTATAGGAATATGGATGACTATGCAGATCACAATAAAACCCATCCCCAAGGGACTTTTTCATACACTAGGTAAACAACCCCTCTCAATTTATCAAGCATTCTGGATTGAATTGATGCTGTCCTTTACTTTTCTGTTGCTGTGTAGAGAAATATGGTTTAACATTTACAGATTTAGCACTAGAAAAATAATAATAAAGGTTTTCTCTGTGCACCTTCACAACACAGAGTGCAGGAATATTAATTGGCTGCAGTGTTTGTATAACTGAACTAAAGAAAATACAACTGTTGTTTAATGTATAATCAGAAAACCAAATTACATGCAATATTGAAAGAAAAGATTAACCCTGTTTGTCTTATTAAACCTTCCTCTCCCCTCCCCCCTTGTTTACATACCAGTGTTTCTGGCTTTCTAAGGATAAACAGTGAATGAACCTGGACTGACCTGACACACAGCATCTCTCAAACTTTTCCCTTGGATGATTCACACATATGTGAGCTGGGACCAAACAAAGCAAAGAGGAAAAATGCAGGAGATAGTGCAGGCTGAGCAAATTTGGAAGAGGTGAGACTGTCCAAGTGTGCCATGCCCAAGTCCCTCCTCCACTGCAAGTGCACAGCTACTGATTACAAACACACATTCCTACCCTTGCCGGTTAAGCTCGGTTTGACAACTGAAGTGAAATTAGTTTCAGTCCTGTTCATGCGGGAATTATTGTCATTTATCTACCCCCAAACTAGTTTCTATTGCTTTCTAGTGCTTTATTTGCTGTTTTGTGTGGCCATGCTGTGTGCCTGTGCACAGTGCAGTTCTGTGCTACAGGAAGCAGTCGGGAGGGCTTTCCCAGGGAAGAAGGCTAGACAGTAATTGCTGCTCCCTGTGAACAGCTACCAGCTGATGTAGATATGGCCACTTTCGTTTCCCTCTTTCTCATTCAAATAATACATGTAGCTCTGTAAACAGATTAAATATAATCATGTATCCTGAGAAACCATCGATGTAATCCTTTAGTCAAAGTACAAACAAACAGGTCGGTCTTGGCCAGGGAGTTCAGCTGAATCCAGATTTTAAGATACATAGTTTTCAGCAGAAAACAAATTCTGAAAAATCACCAAAATCTCGCTTTTTAAACTGAGAAAGAGGGATTATTATAAATAAATGCCATGAAAATTTGGGCCTGATAGCTGCTATTGTCAGACTGTGCGCATGTGCCAACACATCACAATGTCAGCACTCTCTGGTGTTTGAGATAATGAAATGCCCGCTCCATTCTTCAGTTTTTCTCCCTCTACCAAAGGAGCAATTTCTCACTATTTCTGCCACTATTTTGTCTGCTTTAGTGATGAATGTCTGAACACCAGCTGACCTACAACACAAAAGTTTGGTTGTTACATGAACTGACTGTGGACTAAAGCTCTCATGAAGCTGAACCAGCCGTGGCAACAATGAGATATTTTAAGAGTAAAAGCTTAAAGTCACCTAGACACAAATATCACAGCATGAATGCAAAGCTGAGTTAATGAGCTCAGGTCTACCCTTGTCAATGACTGCAATATGCATTGCAAAGACTCCAGATCACATAGCAC